AAATTACCGGAAGTCGATACCAACTTTCTTATTTTAAGTGGAATTCCCTGTATATTATTACTTTTTTGGAAAGAGCATTTATTTTTAAGTTGAAAAGATATGGCACACTCCATACTTAGGATTGACCGTCTTCGAGATATTTTGATTTTTATGCGAAAATTGACAGATGCAGACTGTCAGCAAAAAATAGTTTTCCCGGGAACACAGGTTTATTTTTTGTGCGAATTGGACACTTTGTAGGGGAAGACCTAATTTATCGGATTTGTCATGAAAATTTTTAGTTTTTATACAAGGTTGTCAAAAAAGATAATATTTTACAAAATTTTTAAAATAACTATGTATGTATTTAGAAAGTTTAGCCTTCGATGATGACAGATAAGTATTTTATCAACATGAGGTGCCTCTCCTCACAACAGCTACCTTGTTAGCAATTTTTTGTAACAACTGTTTGATGACCAGCGGATTGCCAACAATGGACTGTTTTTATGGCCGCCTCGCTCACCAGACTTATCTATGCTGGATTATTTTATTCGGGGGACAATAAAAAAATAGTGTGTACAGTACTCCAGTAACAACATAGGAAAATTGTATGCATAGAGAAGGAATAAGACATTAAAATAATTTTGACAATTAAAAACCTGTGACAATTGTCATGTTGATTGTTACTTACCTGTCACGGCCAACCTAAAATGTGCAAAACAAATGTCAACACCATTTTAGGAAAAGAGAAATGTTTATTCGTAAATAAAATAAAAACGACTGGGTTTTGGTATAGGGAAACTTTAACACAATTTTAGTTTCCATTTAAAAATTTCGAGTGTCGCATATTCTCTGAACTTCATATTCGAACTTTTTTTTTGACCACCTTGTATAAAAACTGGAAAATTTTTATATCAAATTCGATAAATTTGGTCTTCCTCAGCCTGCATCTGTCAATTTTTGCCTAAAAATCAAAATATGTATCTCGAAAACGGTCAATCCTAAGTATGGAGTGTGCTATATGTTTTCAACTTAAAAATAAATGCTCTTTCCAAAAATGCAATAATATACAGGAGGTTCCATTTAAAATAAGAAAGTTGGTATCGACTTTCAGTACAACTGGAAGTACGATGACCTTGAATTTTTTTTTTGGGTGATCGGCCCCATGGCCTGTATCACACAACCACAATTTCAACAAAATTTTTCTAGCAGTTTCCCAGATATCCATCGATTGAGTTCGTGGTAAGACACCCTGTATATGTCACTAGTATAAGATGAACTCCAAAATATGATTGAATATGTTTCTATTTGTGATCTAATTAGAATATACAGCTGTCTAATAGACCTTAAATTAGTAAACTTTTAGTAGTATTACATATCATGGATTATACCTACAGTATGTCCATAGAAAAGGTGTTGAATAGAAAAAACTTTCTTATTTTTTATTTTATAGAAAAAAGTTACTCTTGATAAAAAATTTTGCTGGTTCTTAAAGTAAGATTGGGATAGAAAAATTTAACATTTCTTGTACGGGGTGTTCAGAAAATTGAAAGAACTTTAAATTGTACAAGAGTAAAGTGCACTTATTTGAGATGTGGAAATAAGTAACTAGGAAAAGTTATTCAAAAGTAAAAGGTAGTCTCTAAATCAATTTTCGAAAAAATCGGCATTCTTTTATTTATTTGTAATCATTAAATTTATTTTTTCTACAAACGTCAAAAAATGACAAGGTTTGTGCATTGACAACAATATGCGAAGTGCCACTTTTTTTCGGATTCTTACGTTACCATGACACCGTGCGCGAAATACTTCGCGCACTAGGGTGCGAAGTATTTCGCACACTGCATGTAAATTAATAAGAGTTTTGTATTTCAATCTTTGAAAAAATGAAGCAAAACTCCAAATTATTATTTATTTTTAAATGAATAACAATTAAATACTTTTAAAATAATGATGGAATTTTACAATAACTTTAGTTATTATTTACAATATTAACATTAATCGTACAACCCGTACACGAACCAATATTTATTCCTAAACCAGATAATTCAGGTTCAGCTCGGGTTTTGGGGGTTTGTTTGTAGAAAAAATATTGTTTGCATCTCGTGCGAACTACTTTGGTGGTCTCGAATAATTTTTTAACTCGGCTTTACCTCGTTAAAAAATTCAATTCTCGATCACCAAAGTAGCATTTCGCGCACTAGATACAAAAATAACTATTATGCAAATTAAATTATTCCAAATTAACAATTCAATCTTGTTCTAGTAGGCATTGTTAGTGACAAGTTGATTTGACAATTCGCTGTTATAATTTATTAGCCATCGCCATTTTCAGGTTAAAATACTTACTTTACAGCAAAAAATTTACTTAGTACCATGTTATGGACAAGGTGAAAAATGTCATCGTCAAGTTTTGAGGAATTTAATGAAAAATTCCTAAATGTGTATGTTCCGGAGGCTACTTGCCGTAAGTTTTTAAGGACTGGCTCAGTATTTTTGCAATTAAATAATGATTCAGCAGGTAAAGCAACGCTTTTTATTACTTTTAATTATAAGCGCATACATGTCACAATAACAACTGTCAAAATCAACAACCACTAGTCTAAAATTAATATTATTTCAAATTTATTTCAACAAGTATTGCGAATACCCCGAGTGAAAAAATAGATATAATGAAGATGATGCACTTTGTTGATATTATATTCAGTAGAGGAACACCCGAAATTATCATTAAGAAGAAGAGCTGAAAGTCTCCAATTTGTTAAAAAAATAATAATAAATATAAGATACATCCTTTCAAGCCAGTTTTTAATCATTTTTTGGAAGTCGGTGATGAAGCAAAAGTTTTGCATTTTTGTTTGTGGGTTGGCAGTATAGAAAGAGGATTTCATAAAAAAATCATGTTTTCTGATGAATCAACTTTTTCAACCAACCAACGGCCATAGGGCATACTTCTTTAACACTTCTTGTAATGCGGATAGCTACTTAGATATGTTAAGAAATTTTCTTGACGGTGAATTAGAAAACCTTCCGTTAGAATACCGTCGTTCATTTTATTTTCAACAAGGCAGATGCCCAGCACATGCGGCAAGTGTAAGGCAATGGTTAGACCATACATTTCCAGACCAGTGGATTGGGAGACAAGGACCAGTTCAGTGGCCTCCTAGGAGTCCAGATTTGACAATAATGGATTTTTCCTTATGGGGTCAACTGAAACAAATTGTTTATTGCACACCTCTAATAGATTCCAATATTGATCAATTAAAGGATGCGATTAGAGATGCCGTTACTTCAATATCTTTAGATGAGGTTAGAAGTTTTAATGAATTATTTATCCGTTTAAAAACGTGCTCAATATGGTGGGAGTATGTTTGAGTAAATAAACTTTTAAAATTTGTGAATTGTTAATTTGGAATGATTTAATTTGCATAAAACAAATTCAATGATTACAAATAAATAAAAGCGGGTCGATTTTTTCGAAAATTGGTATTAGAGACTACGTTTTACTTTTGAATCATTTTTCCTAGTAACTTATTTCCACATCTTCACAAATAAGTAAACTTTACTCTTGCACCATTTCAAGTTTTTTCAATTTTTTTAACACCCCGCACAAGAAATATTAAATTTTTCAATTCCAATCTTACTTTAAGAACCAGCAAAATTTTTTATAAAGAGAAACTTTTTTCGATAAAATGAAAAATGAAAATTTTTCTTATTCCTATTGCTACTGTATGTATGACTATTAAAATTAATCTTTGTATCAAAAGTAATTTCAGATCTCTCATTGCTTCAACCCCGGAAAGAATTTTACATCATTTATTTTATATTTGTATAATATAGGCATAATGTCAATACTAAAACATTTTGTTGAAATGTAACATCATATATTTTATTTAAATTATTTCGAAATGATGTCATATTTAATTTGTTGTCAACTTGACTGTATACTTTTTATTATGATGTAATAATTTCACTCTTAATGTATGTTAGTAATAACAGCATCCCAAGATTATAACCCTGAGGAACACCGGATAAATCAATGAAATAATTGAGTGTACACCTACATAATAAATAGTAAATTGTAATTAATTTAGGAAAGTTGTTGTGAAGTCTGAACCCAGGACAAAGTTATAAACGGGATGTCCTCCGAAAAATAACTTTATTAATTTTATGTTTTGTTCGATTTAATTTATTTTTTTTTTGTTTTTCAAAGGATGGAGATCATTGAGAATCTAATATGAACGATTTGGTCAGACTTTCAAGTCAGTCAGTCTTTTGCTGACCCTGAACAATTCTTTCTTTAATAAAATTTTCCTAAAAAAATGCCTACTAATTCGTTTTTTTTAATTTATTTTGGTATTTTTGGAGACCTTGCATAAACTTCAAAAATAGTTAATGGACAAAAGAAATTATCTTTTGTTTTCTACTTGTTTTAATTCCTTGCGTTTAAATAGCAATTTGTATTTGATAAAAATGATATAAATGGACATTTTCATTCAAAATTTCCTTTTACAGTTATTATTAATCGATGTTTTATGTTGTAATTATATTTTTAAGATAGAGTCATTGCCATTTTAATAGATTTTTAAGTTGCTGTATTGACTACTATATTGTTTTGTTGTTTGTGGTTTTAACGGCCGTCATGAAGAATGTGTAAGATTAGATAAGAAAAAACTACGGAAAATATTTGTTTTACCGTTTTATTCTAATCATTATAGTTGTTGAGACCTTGACTGGAGAAATAGAAAAAAATAAGACCTAAAATCACAATAAGTAGTATGAGCACTTAAATTGCATTTAATTATTAATAAACAATAAGAACTAATTTTAATAACCTTTATCATGTTTTTCCTAATCGACAATAAGCAATTTACGAAATTGTATATTTTTAAGTTTTCATCAATGCTGTTATTACAAGAAATCATGCAGTTTTTCATTTGATAACATTTTAAAGTTTTCCTGAATACGTTGGAAAATTCTTGTTTAATTTCCATGAATTTAAAAACATTTATGATTTCCAGTTGGAGTCATGGTTCAAAACGGGGGCCGCGAAGAAACCTCAGGGTCAAAGACCCACATCCACCCTCACGGCCCGACCAAATTCCGAGACAGATATCGTGGATCCCGATGACGATTACCTAAAAATGATAGAAACCATGAGTGAGAAAGAAATTAATGTAAAAATAGAAGAACTATTGGTAACATCGACATATTATATTTTACTAAAAAGCATTAACCGAATCATTTTCAGAGTGATATGAATTTAAATGACGACAAGAAGAAACCTTTGAGGGATATGGCGATGGACCAGAAGAAAGCGATGTTGATCATGCAAAACAAAAAGAAAGGACAACAGGAGACAGGGAATCGTTTCAACGATCCAGAAGATTATCATAAATATCTAGAACAACATATCAGTTCTGAATATACGCCATTATACAAATTTCAGAACTGTGTTGAAAGTCTTAGGGTTGCTTTAGCTAATAACCCCTTGAGTTGGGTAGAAAAATTCGGTTCCATAGGACTCCAAAGGATATTACAAGTTTTAGAAATAGGACTAAAATTGTAAGTCATGATGTTTTATATACTGTGTGTGCATCTTGTTTCATTTACTAGGACTGTCAATTAATTTTGAGGGATTTTTTTTGTAAATTCAAGGCTTTATTTTGAAAATTTGTGTACATTATTAGTTTTCAACGTATTGTCTATCACTAGACACTACTTCAGCAGAACTTTTCTTTGAATTAAACAGGCAAAGTAATGCATTTGTAGTGATTTTGCAATGATATTACAGTGCGTACAATTCATCATGAAACATCCTTATTATATTTTTTTTTAGTAAGGACGTTAAACTACAGACTGAATGTTTACGATGCTTAGAGAAATTCATGAACAATACGACGGGAATTAAAGCATTTTTCAACACTGGCAAAGGGCACGTGACTGTGGCCAAATGTTTAGACCACGAAAAACCTCAAGTTATGATACAAGCTTTGAAGGTAACTTTGTGAAGGCTTAAAAGAAATTTGAACGGTGGGTATTCAAATCGTTGTTAGATTTTAGCTCCGCTGTGTTTCTTAGACGAAGGACGTGACGAGGACGGTTCGAAGAAAGTCCTATTAGCCATTACTAAAGTCGGAGAAGAGGAAAACCGGGAGAGATTTTTGCCGGTTGTTAACGGAATTACTAAAACTAATAATGCTGATTTGCAGGTAAGATGTGACTTCTTTAATTCTGTTAAATTTTATTAATTTTGAAAATATAGGGTGCTGTAATATTGAAAAAAAAATACATTTCTTTCGTATCTGTAACTGTTGGGTTTGTACGGGCTGAAACCTGCTTTAAAATACAGGGTGTTTATTAAGTACGGTCCGTAACTTTAAGACACAATTTCTTATAGTATTTAAAGAAAAAAGGTTCCTAAAATATGCAACTGGAAACGCTTAGATTTTGAGATAGAGGGTGTTGAAAAATATATTATTCTTAAGGTTTGGCAGTTATTGTACGTTGGTAAAGAGCTACATTTTTAGTATAAAGTCAATTTTTATCTGCCGCCAGTGGCATAGTTAGGAGTGAGTCAGTCGACATTTTCCTCAAAAAATGTGGCCGCCAATGGATTTTTAAACATTTTTAATATTTTTGGACTCGCCTAACATTTTACATCGAAAAAGGTGTCTTGAATTTTTTGCCTAATACTAACCTATTTTTGGAAAAAAACTTATTTATTTAATTCAGTGGCAACAAAAATATGCCTTTTTTTTATCGTCTTACTTGTTTGGTACCGAGATTATTGGCATTTTGCTAGTTATAGTCAAAACTTTGGATTAGATAATAAAATTCGAAAATGAATAACTTTACTGACACTGAAATGACTCATCTATAGCTTAGCAAATAGGAAAATTTTATTTACTGATGAGGCAACTTTTAATTTTCATAATGAACATTTTTGGGCGGACGAAAATCTGCATGCAAGAAGTCGTCAGTACCTCGACAACTCCTAATCGCTGGATTGGTTGCGCAGGTCCCCAAACTTGGCCCGCTCGCAGTCCCAATATGAATCCTTGTGACTTTTATATACAGAGTGTCCCGTTCATGTTTCAAAAAAACTTGTGTGCAAGTTCCTCATGTGAAAATATTGGGGGTAGTTCATGTAACGTTTTTTTCTTAGATGCCCTGTTTTCAAGATACAGTGTGTTGAAGGTTACTTTCCAAATGGTTTTCCTTAATTATCTTTAAATCGGCCAAAGATAAAAATGTCAACATTTGTACACGAGTAAACATCAACAGTGCGTTAAGAATAATGTGCAAACGGTTTCTTTCTGAATAGCAGTGTCGCCGATACAGGTAATTGAAGGGGTACAATCGAAGAAAAAATATGTTAAAAGTCAAAATTTATTACATTTCTAAACGGTTCTCTAAACTCTAAAAGGATACTACAAAAAAAAGGTATACTTGTTGAAATTTGGTAGCATGTACCATTTTCGAGAAAAATTAAGTACCTAGCATTTTTTTTTTGTTCACATAAAGCTGCACAAGTACATTAACAAAATATTAAATTGAAATAGGACTTTACCATTGAATGAGCTGAAGACATTTAGCTACCTACAGTATTTGCATTTAAGACTATAATTTTCATTTCTTACGTATCATGAAACAGTTAAATTGTAAAACATTTTATTAACTAAAGAAAAAAATAAAATTTATTTTGAGTTTCAGTTTGTTGTAAACTAACATTTAAAAAAGTAAATCAAAATAAACAGATTATAGTAATTAATTAAATAAATGTGCAAACTCGAAATACTACAGTATATACTGAAATTGTTCCCCATTTCCTTCTATGCAACTTAATTTTTCTCGAAAATGGTACATGCTACCGAATTTCAACAAGTATACCTTTTTTTTTGTAGTATGCTTTAGAGTTTACAGAACCGTTTAGAAATGTAATAAATTTTTACTTTTTTTATTCGATTGTACCCCTCCAATTACCTGTATCGGCGACACTGCTTTTCAAAAGGAAACTGTTTGCACATTATTCTTAACGCACAGTTGATGTTTACTCGTGTGCAAATTTTTACATTTTTATCTGTAGCCGATTTAAAGATAATTAAAAAAAACCATTTGAAAAGTAATAACTTCAACACACTGTATCTCGAAAACAGGACGTCTAACAAAAAAATCTTTACACGAACTACCCCTATTATTTTTCCAAGAGGAACATGCACACAAGTTTTTTTGAAACATGAACGGGACACCTTGTATGGGGTCATCCCAAGTCTCTAGATGAAAACGAATAATTCAATGTTGTGATGTCATACAAATTTCTCCAGGAATTTTTGAAAGAGTGAGATAATCAATGATGAAATTATTGGATTTTATCCAAAGGTGGCTATTTTCAACATCTGCTTTAATTTTGTGTCGAAACTGATTATTTCTATGATCGTTGTTTATAGTTGCCGCCCATTTTTCTAAGAATAGGTTAGTATTAGGCAAAATATTCAAGACACCTTTTTTGTTGTAAAATGTGAGGCGAGTCCGAAAATAATAAAAATTAAAAAAAATCAATTATCGTTCTACAATTTATGATGAATGCGTTGACTTACTCCTAACTACGCCACTGGCTGCAGATAAAAATTGACTTCATACTAAAAATGCAGCTCTTTAGCAACGTACAATAACTGCCAAATTTTAAGAACCTAACATTGACTGTTCCAAATTTATTTCAAATATTAATACATTTTTTAAATTTTCAACCCTGTATTTCGGAATCTAAGCGATTCCGCCCACATGTTTATAGGGACTTTTTTTCATTAAATACCATAAGAAATTGTGTCCTGAAGTTATGACTGTGCTTAGGAAACACCCTGTATAGCGCTATACAAAAAATTTATATCAGTTAATATATTATTGATGTTAATTTTTAACTAAAATAATTTTTATTAGAAAAGTAAATTATTCCTCGAATTTAATTTATCATTGTTAGAAACCAAAGCCAGCTGAATACATTTCACATTTTACCATTTTTTGGTACTATATTGTAGAGTGGCATGTTTACCAGTGGTTATCTCTATTTTTTTTTATAAAATTGTTTTTTTGAATCTAATATGGCCAGTTAGTAATGTTTGTGGTAGAGTATTTATTATATATTTATAATTATGAGTTAGTCAAGTCTCTTATTTCTTTGTGTTAAGTGTAGTGCTTCTTTTGGTTAATTTCCTGAAAAAAATAAAATAATGAAGTTTTCTAATTGGACAAAGAAAAGGATTTTTAGTTTTGTGGTAGGCATCATTCTAACCTAGTAGTTGTTGGCATTTTCTTGTTTAATTAATGAATTAATTGATAATTTTGTCATTTGGTCATGAAGGTATACAAAGAAACATGTACCTGATATATTTAAAACATTAAAAATTGTTATAAATTTAAAAAAAAACTGTTCGTAATATCTATTACTTTGGACAGACTTACTTTTATGTTATAAAATTCAGCCATGATAAATTATATAACTCATTTCTGCAGTTTATGAATTGGCCTTTTTAAAATTTTTATACACAGTTCATTTTTCAACTAAATTTGAACTATAGAATTGCTGGGTCAATTAAAACTATGCTATTATTAACGTTATGTTTTAATTATGTATCTAATAATACCTATCTAATAAATGAAACAATTACATAAATCAAAATTAACTTTATCAGCAAAAACTGCTCTCTATAATTTTGTTACACTTAAAAAAAATTATAATTACTGAATCATCAGAAGTTTACATTATTATTATTATAAAGTACATATTGAAAAAAATGGTGCAGATAACAAAGAAATTTGGATAATCAAAATTTGCATTATGAAGATTCAAATTAGATTTAAATTTTTGTATTGTATGTTGTAAGCAAATTGCATTTTCTTCAAAATTATAATGACTAATTCTGTGTTTTCCCTATTTGCTTTTTTAATACCGGATAATTTTTTTAACCTAAAACTTCCAAGTATCTCGAAAAATAAGCACTCTACAAAAAAAAAGTCCATAATCACAATTTAATCATTCCACGAAGGAATGGAAACTTTGAAACTTTAAATAGGAACCCCCACTTTTTATTGTAGTTTTGGATTCTATGGCTAAAAGTAATTTTTTTTATTTCTCAATTTTTGCAAATGATTTGTCGAGAAACTACTATTATGGTAACCTAGGAAGAAGCATCCGTTTTGGGATACTTGGTCAATCCGATTTCCTTCGCTTACCCCCACATCCTTCATTTGTCTCCACTTTATTGAAGGCGATTTGAGTCGTCGAATGTACCAAGACATTTTGGAAAATGAACTGCCAACATTACTCGAAGACTTGAGCTTAGATGTGCAGCAGAACATGTGGTTTCAACATGGTAGTTGTCTAGCACACTATTCAGTAAGTACTTGATTGCGATTTCAGTGGTCGATTGGTAGAGCTGATCCAGTAAATTGATGTGCTAGATCACTAGGTTTCACTTCGCCAGATTTCTTTTTGTGGAGCTATCTTAAAATTTACAAATAAGAACCAACAACACGTGAGAATATGATTGAGCGAATCAAAAATGCTTGTTCTAAAATTTAAACAGACACACTTCTCAGGTGTGTACAGTCGTTTGAAATGCAGATTAATAAGTACATTGAATCGGAGGACATCATTTTGAGCACTTTAAGTGATAGATGGTGAAGCGAGGGGCTTATGTAAAACAAGCATGGTGATAAATGAGAGGCAAATTGACTTTTATAAATCAAGCATCCCGATATGTGAGAGATAAAGGGACTCACGTTAATCAAGCACTCCGAAGGGAACAAAAAACTACTAAGTCAACATTGTTTTTTTGAGTTACGCTAAAAATAGTTTATTCACCAGCCAGTTACATTTGTACAGGTAACAATTTCCCAAATATTTGAAATTTGCAAAATGAACACACTTTTTTGACAATGAATTTTGATATTGCAGAATTGTATGCATAGATTCAGTAGGAGATATCGAAGAATTTCGTCGATTACAGCGCCATCTATCATGAATAAAAAAAAAATGGTTCTGGCAAATTCTACATATTTTTAGCCATGGAATCCGAATATGCAAAAAGTAAGGATTCCTGTTTAAGATTTCAAAGTTACCCTCTGCCCAACCTAGGAAGGAGGTACTAATTTTAGCACTGTGTTTCCTCCATGGGATTATTAAATTTTGATAATGGACATTTTTTTGTAGATTACTTATATTTCTCGAGATATTTGAAAGTTTCAGGTTAAGAAAATCACCCCGTATTGTTAAATTTTTTAATAATATATTTTTTGAGCCTCTGCATCTACTTAACCAAGTCTATAAATACTCGATTTTATTTTTTCAGAGTATGTGTTTTCAATTTATTAATGCTTTGTTATCCGAAACAGAAGACTTTGAGTTTAGAATGCACTTAAGGAATGAAATTGTTCGAAATGGACTTTATGAAAAATTACGTAAGTCCCTGTAATTTATTTGTGGCAATTAAAAAAAAATTATTACATAGCTGTATATACAGGGTGGCCGGAAAGGTCATGTCAAAAATGAAGGGGTATACAGGGGAGGCCAAAATAGTTGTAGTACTTCATAAACACAATTTTCCTATTGGGCTTCATTGTGACGTTATTCGCCTTCAAAGAAAGAAGTTTGAAAAACAAATTTTAATTATAACTTCTAAGTTGTTACCATGACAACAATGAAATTTGGGCAATTAAAGTAACTCGTAGTAATGTTCATTTTCAAGTTTAAACTGATATTCAATATGCCTGGATTATACAGGAGCAGACAAAATTATCCATTTAAATTTATACATCTTTGACAGCATTGCCAAATTTGGCATTTTTCATTCATAGTTCGATTCCTCTCTAACTTTGCTTAAAATAAGGTACACCATATATCAGTCGATACCTTGTATACCGTTTTTGAGAAAATCGAATTTTATTAACAACATACATGTACATATTGTACATGTATAATCCAGGCATATTGAATACCAATTTAAACTTTGAAATGAACCATGAGTTATTTTAATTGCCCAAATTTCATTGTTGTTGTTATGGTAACGACTTAGAAGTTATAATTGGAATTTCTTTTTCAAACTTATTTCTTTGAAGACAATGAAGTCCGAATGGACATTTTTTTTATGAAGTGCTACATCTATTTTGACCTCTCCTGTATACCCCCTCATTTTTGACATGACCTTTCCGGATACTCTGTACATTACAATTGCTTTTGATGTATATAATTTTTTTATCTTTTTTTTAGAGGAGTTGAAAAATGAAACTAACCCAGTCATAAAGAGACAGTTCGACATATTCGAAAATCGACGAGAAGACGACGCCGATGAATTACACGAACGTTTTGACAAAGTACGACTAGACATGGACGATATACACGACTGTTTTGAGGTCTTGAAAAATGTCACGTTAGAAACGCCTTCGGAACCGTATTTCCTCAGTATTTTACAACACCTTTTGTTCATCAGAGACGATATAAATATAAGGTTAGTTCATTTGCACTCAGGTAGGTTACGCTTTTTCGATCCCAATAATCGTTTCTTAGTACTTATCTCTTACAGGCCAGCGTACTTCAAACTGATAGAAGAAGTAGTTTCGCAAATAGTATTACATAAATCTGGGTTAGATCCCGATTTTAAGAAAAATCACGTAGATATCGACCTCCAACCGCTCTTGGACGAACTTAAAGGTAAAATACAGATGTCATTAAGGCAACTTGCATAAATTAAATACATTTTTTAGATAAGCCCGTATCAGTAGTCGACAGTGCTGAAGTGGAGGGCTTGAGGAAACAGTTAGAAGAAGCGTTAGCAGCGAAAACCGAGGCGGAAGCGAAACTGGAACTCGTTCAAGGTCGTGCTGGAGCTACTGAAAACACTGGCAAATTAGATCCGGCACTCATTAACAAAGTCAACATTCCACCCCCTCCACCGCCTCCTCCAGGTATGGGAGGCCCACCACCGCCTCCTATGCCAGGCACCAGCATGGGTCCCCCACCACCTCCAATGCCAGGAATGGGGGGTCCTCCACCCCCACCAATGCCTGGAATGGGAGGACCCCCACCACCACCAATGCCTGGAATGGGAGGGCCTCCGCCACCACCTCCACCACCTGGTATGGGCGGTCCACCCCCACCCCCGATGATGGGCGGCATGGGTGGTCCTCCTCCACCTCCAGGGATGGTGCCGTTGCCGGGTTTGGCCAGGCCGGATTTGCTTCCGCACGGGTTGAAGCCAAAGAAAAAGTGGGAGGTGAGCGGACCTCTCAAACGGGCGAATTGGAAGATGGTAATTGTTTTTTAAGTTGCAGTTTAGAGTGAATTGGAAACACGTGATTTTTTTGTTCCAGATTTTGCCTCAAAAGTTGTCGGAAAAATCGTTCTGGGTGAAAGCGAAGGAAGAAGAGCTGGCTGAGCCTGATATTCTTGACGGTTTAGCGAAGAAGTTTTCTTCTAAACCAGCCAAAACTTCTGAAGACGTCACAGATAAGTGAGTATAGAATACAAACTTTTTATTATCGATTTGTCAACAAATAGAGAAAATTTTATATTAGAACACATAAAAAAATATAGTTTGCAAGATATACCGGGTGTTCAGAAAGTTTGGAACCCCCCCCTATCTCAAAAAATACTGCTCAAATAAAAAAATGATTAGGACAAATGTTGCAGGCAACGGTGACCTTGACCATGACCTTGAAGGTCATTTAGAGGTCAAGTTGAAAATTTTAAATGGAACTGTACACTTTTGACTCCGGAAATGGAAAAAATGGAAATTTTTACATTTGGATATGACCTTGACCATGACCTTCAAGGTCATTTAGAGGTCAAGTTGAACATTTTAAATGGAACCGTATACTTTTGATCCCGGAAATGAAAAGAGTGAAATATTTTATGTTCGGATGTGACTTTGACCATGACCTTCAAGTCACATCCGAACGTAAAATTTTTCGCTCTTCGTAAAGCTTCAGGAACTTCCTACATGCCGCAGTTTTCATCGGGACGCCTTAGTTCATGTGGAGCGTGCGTTTGTTTACAAAGAGTTTTTTCGGCGCAACGAATTTGCTTTAAATTTTGCTTTAAATTCGAAAAGAGTTGTGCGGAGACCATCGAAATGATGAAGACGGCATTTGGGGACGAGTGTATGAGCAATACACAAATAAAAGAGTGGTATAAGCTGTTCAAAGATGGCCGCACGTATGTTGATAGTAACTCACGCTCTGGGCGGCCTACGACGACAAAAACACCGGATAATATCGAACGTGTGCAACTTGCGATCAATGAAGATCGTCGATTGACAGTGCGACAACTGGAATGTGATCTTTGGATACGGAAAACTAGCGTTTGGAAGATTTTAACTGAAAATTTGCAAATGGTTTGCGTGTGTGCCAAATTTATTCCGAAAGCGCTAATGGTGGAGCAGAAAAACCTTCCCCTTGAAATCGCTCAGGACAATTTGGAAATGGTCAATAATGATAAAAATCTGCTTAAAAAGATTATAACTGGTGATGAATTGTGGGTTTATGGTTATGATCCTCGAACAAAACGACAGTCTTTGCAGTGGAAGCTGTCGTCGAAGCCACGACCTAAAAAAGTGTGCCAAAGTCGGAGCAATATCGAGTCATTGCTGATTGTTTTTTTTTATTATGAGGATGTTGTGCACCACGAATATGCTCCTAAACATCAGACAATCAACAAAGAATGTTATCTTGAAGTTATGAAAAGATTGTGTGACGCAATTAGAAGAAAACCGTATCAACTTTGGTCAAGCGGTGACTGGCTTCTTCATCACGATAACGTGCCAGCATGCAGCAATATTTGACAAAGCACAAAGTCGTACAGAGAAGCTGCGTAAGCCTTCGTATAGTCCTGACGTAGCTCCCTGCGACTTTTGGCTGTTCCCAAGATTAAAAATGCCACTTAAAGGATACCGATTTGACGACAAAGAAACAGTTGAAACTAATACAACAAACTCTCTAAAGGCGATACCAAAAAACGAGTTGCAGGACTGCTTCCAAAAGTGGAAGGGCCGTAGGGAACGTATTCTTCAATCAAATGGGGACTACTTCGAAGAATACCACCAGCCCGATGACGCAGAATAACACCAGCTGGGAAATATGAAGGAAGGTCGGATACTTTTGGGACAGACCTCGTATCTATGAAAAATTTACATATTGAGAAAGGTACATTTGTAACCTGACGGGTTTTTGATTGTTGGATTTGTACGAGCAGTATGCTCGAAAGGGAGAAATGTTGCCTACGATTGATGGGTTCTTGAAAATGTTGGATTTAAATAGCTTGATCCTGACACTTACCTTGGCTTGCTTTGATGACTGCTCCGGTGTGGCTGCAATATGCCCGTCTCAGTAGTGTCTAGACACAATTGAGCACAAGATGGAATAAGACACTAATCTCGAGAAAGATATTGCTTTTCTTTGCACACACAGAAACACAGGAATGCTAGTCTCGTCACAACGACAATGATAAAAAAATATATCCAAGGTACACTGAACTATACGAAGGAAAGGTGGTATACAGTTAAGCTGGTATCACACTTCTCTAAATTGAAAAAAATACAGAATAGGACTGATCTCTGAGAATGAACTAGTCAGTTCGAGGATCAAGAAAACACTCCCTTCCGAGAGGTACTGACTTAGCCTCTAGGCCTTCGGATGAACTCCCTAATTGTCTCTAAGCCAAATTCCCCATTTAGATAGTACATACTTTAGACCCTAATGGAAAAAATGTGGTGTCCGGCTTTACGCTTTTACGTTGTACACCCGGTACAACCCTCAGTTCCCATTTCTGTGTCTTGATTTACTTTAGACAGTAGCTCAAAAAATAGGGGTAAGCTTACAATAATTCGCATAAAGCTGAAAATTGGTTCGAATGTTGGGAACACCATTATAAATGATATGTAAAAAGTCCCCATCGATCCCACATCTGCAAAAAAAATTATTCAAGGTCAAAGTGCGCACATATGGATTTTTTTTGCATTTTTCAGCCAAACGGTAAGTTTTATCATAAAAATAGGTTTGACAAAAATTGTACATCATGCAATTATCTATGAAATTTGTTCTCAAACTTTCCCTAAGAATCACCATTTCTGAGATACAGCGATTAAAAAAGTTGAAAAAGTTGTGTTCTCCATAATATGCACACGTTTCCGTGCCACTTGTGAGATAGTGCACTTGGCGCATTTTTTTTAACGTGGTTTCCTCAGTAGGCCTATTCCACGATTTATTGTGGTCCTGTTTAATTAATATTATATTAAATAAAAAATAAGGCTAGTATTGGAAACGATGAAAGCTGTGTGAACTATAAGTAATTGGGGAAAACTATTCGTCTGATTGATAATTATCTAATGGAAATTCAAGTGTAATGTCTTCTTCTTCTTCTTCTTCTCTTCCTTCTTCTTCTTCTTTTCCTGCTGGATATAAGTAAATTGTTCTAACAGCGATGCTTCAGCTGTCTCCTCGCTGATATCGTAAGAATCCTCTTCTGACGATTCAACATTGGAGCACGATTGGTCTTGACAACTGGTACATGCTAATGAACAAATCAATCCATCTTTTCTGTAGACGCATTTAGCACTACACCCCTTTTTGCAATTGAAAAAAATTGTATCGAGGAGTTTTTTTGGTGCAGGTGGGAGTAAAGTCTAGATTGGTTCCAATGTATTGTCAATTAACTTCCAACCCTAGTCTTCTGGGTCCAGTCGATTACCAAGCCACACTTGAACTTGATAATATACCCGAAATAGATGTTGATGAACACAAGCAAAGGTTGGGCGAAGACAAGTTAATTGCACTCGTTTATTGTTACGAGTATTTTTTACAAAAGTATCGAAACTTATCTAAGCAGGTAATTTTTTTTTGGAGCTCCATATACAGAAAGAAGGAAACGAATTCCGTTAGTGATTACAGTTTGTGGAGTACAGTTACTCTCTTGAAAAACTTCAGCACAATTAACTAAATCTTGTTTTTCAAAGAATTTAGAAACTGTTGTTTTATCCCTCCTGAAAACTATCTATATCTCAGAAATGGTGATTATTAGGAAAAAAGTGTAAGAACAATTTTTATAGATAATTGCATGATCTACAGTTTTTGTCGAACCTACTTTTATGGTAAAACTTACCGTTTGTCTGAAAAATGCAAAAAACCCAGATTTGCGAATTTTGACTTTGAATAAATTTTTTTGCAGATGTGGGATCGATGGGGACTTTTTATATTTCATTTATAATGATGTTCCCAACATTTGTACCAATTTTCAGCTTTATGCGGACTACTGTAACCTTGAATGTCTATTTTCACCAGGCTAGAATGTGACTAGTTATGCTAATCTGAGGAAGTTTTAATTGACTGCCGATTGCATGATTCAACTCATTTGATAAGGATTTTGATGAGTGACTATAAGTTCTCAATATCTTTAATTAATTTCAGGTATCACCTCCCTCTATTGACCTCGTACAGCAAGCTTTTCATCTATCTTTCTTTTCTAATTATCAATGTAACAACTTAATTTAATTCAAATTTGAGATCTCTATGCCTTTCTGAACGTGTTTCGCGCATTATTACAAATATGGACTTCTTTCTTTCGTCCTAGAGGCAACAGATGACTTGTCACATGACGATACGTTTTCAAGAAGTTACTTTGCCCAAAGTTTTTTGGGATTTCATTGTCTTGTTCTATTTACCTTGTAAATTTATTAGTTCCCCGACAAAAGCATTTCAGACCACCCTCTAAATAAATACACAGCACCTATACTACTTGACCCTTGTTTGACAGTGGTCGTTTCTTAGAAGGGCCTAATAGAACTGTTGGGCTACAATCTTTCTGAAAACTGCCCCATAAATTACACGCATCTGGCTTTTGTTACACATTAAACACTATTTTTGACAAAACGTCAATGCACTATGTGAACTAAGGGATGAGGTTTCTGATACCTTTGTCAAAAAAAAAAATCCCGCCGCCTCTCGGTATCCATTGTTTCAAAGCTCTATGGACCTCATCGTTGGTAGAAAACCTTTTTCCACTCGTAAACGACTTCAGAGAAGAAAAAATATGGAAATCAGAAGGTGCAGGCCAGGGCACTGACATTTCCATGAAAATTACAGAAAATATTGCCCTGGAGAGGAGTTTGTGTTTTTGCTCTAGCTCTCGTAGCAAAAAAAGTACATAATCAGGCAATTGAAAAATTCCTTTCTCTCAAAACATTAAAAAACCTAAGATTTATATATTTCACCATTTTTCTTTAACCGTTTTTGATGATAGACTGTATATTTGTTGGTCAGCGTACATTTCTGCGTCTATTCTTATATCATTATTTCATAAAAACTGAGTGGTCAACTCTTTTCTAGTTTTCTGCTTACTTTTCACAAAATTTAGAGTATCTTTTACTTTTTTGTAAAGATGGCCGTATTTATTTCAGAAATAGCAATAGCGGAACCTTGAAGAAAGTGAAGGAACTAAACGTCCTCGACGGCAAAACCGCTCAAAACATTTTAATTTTACTAAACGGGACTTTGAAACATATGGCCTATGACGACATTAAATCGGCGCTGTTGAGGTGCGACGAGAGCGTCTTGTCGGAAAATGTCACGGAGCAGCTCATACAGGTAAACCTTAGACGAACTATAAATTTCTTGTGTATGCACAATAAAAATTTCAGTATTTACCACCCGCCGACCAGCTGAATAAACTGCAAAGCTTTAAGGAAAAATACGAAGACCTGACGGAGGCGGAGCAGTTTTGCGTCAAAATGTCGGAGGTTAAAAGGCTTCTGCCGAGGTTGAAGTCGCTCAGTTTTAAGCATCATTACGTGGAAATGGTACAGGATACCAAACCAGTAAGTGAATATGTTGGAAAATATATAACGGACTCAAATCAGGTGATTTAACCGTTATAAACAAACACAATTTTGTAGGATATTGTTGCGGCTACAGCAGCATGCGAAGAAGTGAAGAAGAGTAAGAAGTTTGCTAAGATTTTAGAACTTATTCTGCTTATGGGTAATTACATGAATACCGGAAGTAGAAACGCTCAAGCCTTTGGCTTTGAAATGTCTTTCCTCACCAAGGTAAGCAGAAACGTTCAGTAATTGTCTGTTATATTTTAAAACTTTTTTTTTTCAGTTAACTGCCACCAAAGATGTTTCCAACAAGCAAACGCTGTTGCATTATATCGCCGAGACGATAGAGACGAAATGGCCGGAGCTCCTAAATTTCTACGATGAAATGCCACATATCGATAGGTAATAATTAGTTTTACAGTGTTAAATGTTGTACTAATATGTTTTTGCTTTCAGAGCTAGTCGCGTATCGTTAGATAACATCCAAAAAACCCTGAAACAAATGGATAGTAACATAAGGAACTTAAAAACTGATCTAGAGAATAACAAAGTGCCTCAGGGAGCGGACGATAAATTTTTGGAAGTTATGGAGGTAACATTTTATAATTTTATATATACTTTTTTAATTTATTTTATCGCTAGCCCCCATTACGATGTAAAAGTAATTTGTAATGAAATAATAATAATAAAATATACAATGCCTTCATAAATTCCCGGGCCCCAGGTGACCGCGACCGTTAGCAACCAAACTTACACTGAACACAAGATTGAAGATTTGATTGAAGAAGGTTGTTATTTAAAAAATATAAATTCTTTTGTAATCCGCTTTCATTCAGAGATAATGAAATTGGATGTTTATATTTTCCTCATTTTTTTGGAAAGTGGGGCGAAAAAGTTTTGAGGCTCCTTGCACTTGTCGTCATCCGAGGAAATGCAGCACTCTTGGTGGCAATCGTCTCAACTGGGTGGCTTGACGGGTAAATCTTCGAAACGTCGGTGAACAATTTTCAAAACATCAGTGAAATTTAATGTTGCCTCTTCAAGGAGAAACGCAGTGCTCAGTCGCGTGCGTGGCAGCACCGTTATAGGGGCCTTTGGCACGATTCTGGTGGCAACTGCCACATCTCTGGAGCCTTGTCAAAATTATTAGAAAGATCGATGAAAAATTGAGTTTGTTTACGAACTCCAATTATTGTAGCGGAACTGATCTGTGTTATATTCCTATTTTATAGCGGGAACTGCACCATATGGGCTTTTCTTGAGGAATTGTGGCAATATTCAAAACATAGACAAAATTTGACGTTCACTCGCCCTACAAACTACGACAGGAGCATTTTCTAAGAGAAGGTGCAGGAACGATCATTTTGAGGGCTTTGGTGTATAAAATATTCCCTATATATGCGGAAAAGTATATATTGGACAACAGGAAGACATGTCACTTGACGAATAATAACGTAGAAAAATCCCCAGTTGCGGAACACAGGACATACAGGGTGATTCAGAACTTATCCAAAAAAAAAATTTTTGGGTGTACAGGGGCTCTTACAAATACAATTTTGTAAAGAAAAAAAAGGACAGTTCAAAAATGATTTAAAACTTCTTTACGGCACTGGAAACTGGTCCACTGTAAAATCTGACCTTGCACAATGCGACCGACATGGCGGCAGTGTGATAGAAACGGACAAAAACTTCGCAAGGAAAGAAGTAAATAGAATTTTATATCAGCAAACTCAACTGCATTTGCCGCTATTATTATTAATTAATAAAATTAATTTGTGGTTTTAAATAATAAAATAATTTGACATATGTACCTGATGTTACAATATCTGTTCAAAATTTTGTCCACCGAAGTGTAAACACATTTGGGTCCGCCTTAATCAGTTTCTATGAACTAACACAAATGCTGTCTTGTTTCAACATAATACAAATGTTGTCTTGTTTCACCATGAATTAAAGCGATGTCCATCAACTCCGAGTTGCTATACACGCAAGCCATTCTTTACTAACTACTAAAAAACTTTTGTAAACACTATCGCAACGACGATTGTAAAATCGGATTTCAGTATTCGGAGTCGCTGAGGCCACGTGACTTTCCACGTGTATTGCAAATGACGCTAGAGACTACAATTGTCCAGCTATGTAATGGTTGAAAGTACTACAACTTCAATAATTTCTTTCTCGGAAACTAAGAATTTTACAAATAAATTGTGAATCACCCAGAATTCTAGTTAGAGAGAAAGAGAAGATTTTTGCCTAGACTCTACAGGGAGGCGATAGAATTCTAGAATAATTAAAGTAATTTCAGTCGAAACAAAGGGTTGTAAAAAAAAAACAAAGGAATTTAGTAACAAATCATCCTCAAATATCAAGGACCCAAACTACATGATGAACTAAAAACCGTGCATCAGAACACTATGGGCCAGTACACAGAGCAAATGTAAATACCAACCAGAGGACTTAATCTCTAGTTTCAAATCTTTTTCCAAAGAAGAAAGTGATATGTCAAGAATCCTAAACTCACGACATGACAACCTGATCGGAAATTATTCAGTCATTGGCTGTGTTCAATGTGGCAAAATTTTGCTAGTGCTTGTAGGTGCTTTTGCGCTAATTTGTCATTGAACGAACATGGCTAACTTAGCGCTATATGTCAGTATATTGCACGTTCGGTTAGTGCTAAGTAGGGCTGACTAACGCTAGATGGCAGTGACATATGTTGCATGTGTCGGATACAGTCATTGTTTGACAACTGCCACAGAATCATACAAAATAAAATATTTCTGGACTTTCCTTCATATGGCAATTTTTTACCCAATTCAAGTTTAATAATGAAAAACCTTTTATACTGTATGAATTAGTTTCAAGTTTTTAGGTTACTTTTTAGGGAACATTTCGAGGGCGTCATATCAGAAGGGCGTACGAACCAAATCTGAAATTTTACAGGAAATGAAAAAAACGTTTTAGAAATAAAGATTTAGAATTAATTTGTTGATTTTGCCAATATAATAAGACCAATACATTATAGTTCATTGAGGAAATTTAACGTTTAGTAAAATGCAAACATGTAATTGATTTCCGGCTCATGTTTCTTTCTACTATTAGGATGTTCGAGGAACGTGTATTAAATTAATTTAAATAATAGGCGTATAGTATATACAAAAATATGCTTTATTAATACAGTAATTGTATTAATACCAAAATTCGTTACATTTAATTTCGGTGCCTTTTCCTCTTTATAAGTCATTCTCGTACTTGTTGTAGAGACCTCTCATCATCAAATTCTTCATCATCGGAATTTTGGGAACTATTTATTACTGGCAAAAAACGTAAAGATATTTATATTCTGGAGGAATAACTGCATCTTTGCCTTGGCACATAGACAATAAATTGCTATACTTTAAATTTTTCAGAATATAGCAATGTTGTAACATTGACCGGTTTTTTAGGATACTTACAAAACACCAAAAATAACACAAACTATCTACGAAGATTAACAACTTTAACCAAATTTAAGGTTATGTGAAGTTTACCAAATCAGCTGAGGGCGTATAAGCCAATACTGTCTAGCAGGCGTAAAAGAGATACAGAAGTATTAGAAGGGCGTATAGCATACGCCTTTCTGATATTATAGTTTTGCAAAATTGGTTCATACGTATTGATGTTTATGAATATATACGCCCTTCTGATATATTAAGTGAATTGATTAAATGAGGTCACATGCCTTAAAAACCCAAAACCGACTATAGTCTGATATGACACCCTCGATTTAAATGTTTTCCATTAATCATTTTTAGTGTCCTGTAATACAGTGATCCAGAGATTTACGAGGAATATTAAATTTAATAAAGTTGCATTAAAATCGCCACTTTTGTTTCAGAAATTCGCCGAAGACGCCAGGGAACAGTGCGACGTCATGCAGAAGATGTTCAAGAAAATGGAAAGCCACTACAACGACCTGTCCGAGTATTACTCATTCGACAAACAGAAATATACGTTGGAGGAGTTCTTTACAGATTTGAAGACGTTTAAGGATAGCTTTATTGTAAGTAAGACAAACGTCTTTGTCCCTGTTTATTTTACATTACGTTTGTTTCAGCAAGCTAAAAATGATAATCAAAAGGAGAGGGAGATGGAAGAGAAGAAGGAGAAGGCAAAACAAGCGAGGTTGAAGCAGGAGAAAGAGAAAGAGGAAAGGAATAAACGGAGGCTGATCGACATGAATCCTTCGGAAACACAAGAGGGCGTCATGGATAGGTACGTTTCGTCAAATTATCATTGTGGCTTGTATTTTAAATTTCTTTTTTTTTTTCAGTTTATTGGAGGCCCTGTCCACCGGTAGTGCCTTTGGAAGGGAGCAGAAGAAACGGAGGGGTCACAGGCCGGCAGGAGGTAAGGGACACTTAGACACTAATACTATTTTCAATAACCTTTAAAATGTTACTTAAGACTGCTTGTGGGACGTTCAGGGTACGTTTTGAATGTCTTTTCTTTTATTGTACGTCGAATGAATAAGAAACGAAACGATTTTTTTTAAATTTTAGCCGAGCGCAGGGCACAATTAGTCAGGTCAAGGTCAAGGACGGGATTGTTAGCTGGAAGAGAGTTAACCAGGTAAGCGTTCAGTAGTTTGTTAGATACGTTGTCATTATGGTGATTGGACTGTGTATGGGGTTTTCCACCTGTTATTGGTTTCGTTGTTGTAGTGGTTGAAGATCAAACTCTTGCAATAGGCAGAAACTAGCTTTAAAGTACAGTAAGCTTGCTTAGACATAAACTATTGTGATTGTAATAGTAATAAGCCGCCCTATCTCCCACACAAGTGTATTACTTCGAAATAAACGCTAACAGTTATCAGGGCAAAGGAAAACAAATATGGAAATTTTAATTAATTTATTGATATGCTCTGTTTTAGAGTTAAAGTTCGGCAAATACGGGGGTTGCCTTTTATATTTCGGGAACAGAATGTAACCGGAGGGGTTATTTCTTTATTTAGCTATCTACTGTTATGATCAGTATCTTAATGATGTTAAGTTTAAAAAAGACTAAAAAGAGTTTACCATTAATTTCTCGAACACATATTTTAATTGATACGTGGGCACTTAAAAATGTTGTACCTTCAGAGAATGAATTTCAGGCACTTACCATCCATTGCTTACATAGAATGTTCCAGTGGCTGGTTGTATAGGGTAACACTTAAGTTGGAAGAACAAGAAAATACCAAAACTTTCCAGGAAGGTTTTTTAATAACAATAAAAATAATACAAACAAACTAACGATAACCTAACGGATTTGAACCACTATGGCAATTGGTTAATTTACCCGCGACACATAGAGCAAGATTCAGAGAATGAGAGATTCATAGCAAAATTTCTACTTTATCCATTATTAAATTGACCCGAGACTCTAAAACTAAGTAGACAGGTCAGTGTGGAACCCAAGGAAGAACTATCTTTTTCGGAGATCTCTCCTGAATTTGACACCTCGCTTCGACACGCCCATTTGTTGGGTTCAGAAGTTTTGGTTCTTATCTTACTGACAGGATCCCTGAATATCGGTAGTTGAAATGGCTTAACTATATCATATTATTAGTTACCTAATTGACTGAATTTACAATTATATGAATAATTTTGTGATTAACCTGAACTTACAAGTAACCCTACACCTTCCTCTCCCGACTCAGTATAGCAACACAAGGCGGATTAGTCAATCTCGTTTAATCCATTCTTATAGCTTGGAAAATTCGCCTAAAAACCAGCTATTTGATCTATTATTATTTTCCTAACAACATTCTAATAATTTATTTAAATATCTTGGAATAGGCCCATTCAGTAGAATGTTTTTTTTGCATGTTCCAAAAGTTTACCCTTTAATTAGTTAGTATGCCAAATATCAATTTTTTGTTTCAACGAGAAATGTGTGAAATAAATTAATGAATTAATGAATTCTGTGTTAATACATATGGTGTGTGGTTCGCTTGGCACTTTCGTTAATCATTGTTCTTATGTCTAAATGGAAACAGTGGTTTTTTGTTTGTGCTTTATTGCCAGAAGTCGAATTAAGTTCATCGATACACTGTTGTTGAGAAGACAATCCACCTCGAAAGTTTTAAAAAATAATCGCATGGCAGTGTTCACGATTTAATTCCATTTTTTGGTTGAGTCAGTCTAAACAACACAAATAGCACCTGTACGTCAAAACGTTCTGAGTAAGTATACCGCCAAAAAGTAGGACTTTACGATAATAATGTCGGTTGTCAGATGGCAGCACCAGGATCGTCCATTCCTGAAATATAAAAGGCAACCCTTGTGTTATCATTCAAAATTAAATCTGTTTTTATAATGACCATTTTTTTTATCCTATGTTAATAACATCACGTGATATTTTGTCGCCATTTAGACAGCGTTTGGCAAAGAACTGAAATGGGTCGTATTATGATGAAAAAGGTGGATTACCCCATTGGTTTCCATGAAATATTGAAAACAGAAAATGAATAATCTATTTTGTAAGTAGCATCGCTTTTTGGTTTTATAGGGCGAGTTCGCTAAAATACGATGCTCAGCCGTTTTACGGTTACATGGACAGTGACTCAGACTATTCCACAACCTCAGTATTTTTTTGAAATTCCCCGATCACTGTACGTTTGTTGGTTCATATTACGTTTGGCATTTTTTCGTTATTTGTAGCTCCTGGTGACTAACGCTACCTACCAGCTTTTTAATTTCCGTTAACTTTGTTTACCGCCTTGAATTCTCACAGAAATATGATCATACTGTAATGTGTGTGCGGATCCCAAAGTAAACTGGATTGGCAATTTTTGTCTATTTGTAGGAGGGAGCCCTCGCACTGTGCCAAAGTTCTGTAATGTAGTTTTTATCCAATAATATGAGTGTATTTCATCTGTTACTGATAGCTATCCAGTTTAATTTGGGAAATCCTTGGATATTTTTCATTTATTATACTTATTCAATGCTGAGTCTGAGAGATTATTCGATGGATTTTTCTGTTCCTATTTAGGGGAAGTAATAATTTTTTCATTTTTTCTTTGGGTAACCTGGAAAAGTCATGGAAAATAAAAAATAAGCATTGAATACATTTTTAATTTTACCGCCTCCTGTTATCTGATCTCTAATAACTGATCACTACCACTTGACTTTCTTATTTGTGAAGTTTAAAAAATGCCAAAGAAGAAGGTTGTGGCTATAAACTAGTAGTTTTTTTTAATGATATTTAATTTTGTAGTATCTTGTACATAATGTTTGCTTTAAAAGCAGAATATGCCAAATTTATTCTTTTTCAGAATTACAGACAGGAAATAATAAAATAGCCGACATTTGAACTACTCCATATAAGATACAAATAAGTGTGTATGATTTATTGTTCTGATTTTTAATATTGTTTACTTTCATGGATTTTTAAAAAGCAAATGATAAATCGAATGATCTGACGACAACAATACACTAAGGATCCAAATGTTTAGACTTTGTTAATAATTTGGACATTTTCTAATTAATCAAACAAAATGTGCCAAACAGTAAAAAATATTGACATAAAAATAAATAAATAAAATAACATATAGCAAAGAAATAAACATAAAATTGTTCAAAATTTATTTTTTGGAATACATTATACAGGGTGTTACAAATTAGTAGGTCTAGCAGTTAACCACATATTTTTTAGACTAAAATAATGGGACTTTTCGCATGTCACTTTTCATTTTGGAACCCCATTTTCAAAATACAGGGTGTCAAAATTAAAATTTAAAAAATGATTTTTATTGATACCTCCGGTGCTTGTAGAGATATTTATTTGAAGTTTAGCATTTTTTGTGTAATTTTGGTTTAAAATATCAAAGCACGAACGGAGGGGAGAGGGGATACAGTACCCATGGACCCCCTATTTTTTGTTTGAGATCGTCTATGCTTACCTAATATTTTTTTTTTAGAGAAAGCGGCGTTTTATTCTATATTCATTCTTGTAAGATTTTTATTTGGGGCATCGTTTACGAGATATAATTTTTTTGGATACGCGACGTTAGACTTTAATTTTGGGATTTGATGAAAAATTTCTTTTATATGGTACTAATACTAACCAAACAACAGTTAAAGGTTCGAATTGTATGATGTCGGGTATCCAAAAAAGTTACAATATCTCATAAACGAGGCTCCGAAATGAAAAGTAACATAAAAAAATTTCCATTATTTTAATCCAATGTGGTTAAAAAATTTCCATTATTTTAATCCAGAGCATATCGCACCCTTGCTTCAAAAGTGTCACAAGTCAAAATCCTTCATTTTTCAGAAAAGATGAAAAAGCTCTAGCGACAAAAGTAACTAAATTGTTTAAAAACATTATTGATGATTATAAAGGTTTCAGCAAAGGGGCCAAAAACCAAATAGCATTTTGGAACCATTTTAACTGCAACTAACTGAAAATCAAAATCAATGGTGGTATTATGTCAAAAATTGAATTTTTTGAGTTGTGACACTTTTGAAGCGAAGGTGCGATATGNAAAAATTTCAAAAAATTTAATTTTTTAATATAATATTCGATGCAAAAGCCTTTTTTCAATACCTATTTGACCATGTTCGGTGGCTTAGTCAAAGCATACTTCATAATGTTTTTGTTATTTTTATTTTACTATATTAGTAGTGGGAAAAAATAGTATTTACAAAAGTTTTATTTAAGGAAAAATTACAAGAGCTAGAAATAAAATGCAAGAGGGTAATTTTGTTTAAAATAAAAAGTGGATCATAAAAAAAATATTAAAAAAATGTTTTTACCAGTGGCGTACCACAATTTTCTTCGAAAAACCTTACGGTACAATCCGTACGCACGGTACTGAGTAACTTACAAAGTTAATCTTTTTATTGTCACTAGGGGATTATCAAATTAAGCTAAGGCTAAAATTTTACTCCATTATCTTATAATGTTCGATAGTTATTGGAGAAAAACTAAATTTTTTTTAAACTTTTTAGTGCACTGTAGCTTGGAAAAGAAAACCCGTAGAGCATAATTTCATATGAGAAAAATTTATTTTTTAAACCAAAAAATCCACCATTTAATTTATTCCCAACCTTTACGTTACACTCAGTGTAATATGCTTACAGTTGATTAATTAATATTAGTGCAATTTAGAATTAAAATTTCAAACCCATTTAAATTGGGACTTATATCTGAGTAAGATACTGGGTGTCCGCAACAACAAACAAATATTGAAAGGGGGTCCGTGGTAAACAGAAGGTTAAGAACCTCTGATCTAAACAATTGAGGCAACTTGTCAAAAATCATGTACTGTGCTGCAACGTTTGGGACTAGGGCAATGGAACAGACTAGAAATAGTATGGATGCTGCGATTTATCATATAATGATCTATTACATCACTCTGATGGCATATTTTAATAACCATGTCTTTTTCATCATTAAAATCCTGAAGAAGTGTTTTGTTCAAATATACATTAATTTTAAAAATCTTAAGTTTGACTGTTTTTTAAGAACGTATTTTAAAAAAGTGAATATCATAATAAGAAATGTCTACTTCAGATAACTACAACTCACATACATAGAATTTTTTTTCTACATTTAAAAATAAAAGGTGCATAAGTACCTTCAATATTATCAATATACATACTCGTATCATGATGCAGTCTATTTACCAAACTAAAGTAGTCATCTGTGAAAGTCAGGGATTTTGATGAATGAGTGAGAACTTTAAAGAACGTTATCAGCGTTGTCACAGGATGGTTAAATTTCTGTGAAGAATTTCAATTCTTTTGTCGCAAAAAACAATTGTGGTTAAATAATTTTTTTGTTTTTTATTTTTAGTGAAATACTGGCATAACCCCGTTGATTTAGTGAGAACCAATTACGACAACGAATTTTTATGCTCAAATTGGAAGAAAAAAACGTTTTGTATGATTATAATTTATTTATAATTTTGTAAATTGTTTCCACTTGTAAATAACTGTAATTTGTATATTTTGAGTTTATCGAATCTCAAGTTTTTTTTTTACATAATGTACTAATCTAGATTAGAAATATGAAGGCCAAAAAGGGTAAATTTCAATCTTTTGTTATCGTTTAAATATCGTTAATCATTACCTAATTTTCAAAGTATTCTGTTCGTGAAGTCATATATTATTTAAAATATAGGTCCTTTCTTAATTGTAGATTTTGTATTCCGTTAATTTTTATGTTATTGCACTGGTAAGTATTTTTGTTTGTACATTCTAGAGCAGAAAAGAGTGTTTTCTTTTATCAGAAGATTGGAACTGATTATATGATATTTTAGGGTGACAATGGAAAAATAATAACACTTTTGATTATGCTTCGTTTGAAATTGGATCGTGAATATTTTCAACAGGGATTAAACATTTATTTATTATTATTGGAACAAAAATTAACTTTTCTATAATATTTTTTTTATCATAGTTACACATTATTTTGTATCACTACGAAAATTTCACGATCTTTCCACAATTCTTCATTCATTGTAACGATAGTTATAGTGAAAGTGATATTTTAAAATCAAAACGTAACACTGCTTGATAATAGTATAATACTGTAAGTGTCAAACTTCAGCGTATAAGATCATTTTTCACCCCATATATTGCACTTAATTTTCTCATATCAACTTAAAAAGCATCATTACTTAAACGAAATGCTTCTATTTATGTATACACATAATATTTTTTATAAGATTTGTGAATATGATTATATACAAGAGATATTTTAATAAATTATTATGTGATTGTTAATTTCTTTTTTATTTGGTGGTGTTAAATCCTGAAAATCCTTTTTTTTTCATATTTTTCAGTTATGTACTAGGACTGAATTAATTTTGAGCGATTTTTTTGTAAATTCAAGGCTTTATTGGAAAAAGTTGTGTATGCTATTATTTCTTAATGTATTTTCCTTCCGCTTGCCATTACTTTTTCCCATCTTTTTAGCAGCATACAGATTCTGAGTCGAAAGAACAGCTATAGTAGGATCATATTCGATGCAAAATAATAAATCATTGCCTGTCAAGGATCCAGTGCAGTACGGTTTTAAGGGGTTTAGAAATTGAAACATTTCTTATGCATTATGAAGAGTTGAAAGAACATCTGGTACCCCTATTCCTAGAAAAATTCCTTTATTTTCATAAACTATGTATTTTAAATGTAATTTATTATAAATCCAATTTGTTTTTTAAATTCCACATATATATAATTAGGTCAAAAACCGGCTTTAGGGGCCCTCCTCCTTTCACTTGTGAATCAAACAACGTCCCTTACAAATTAAACTTTATTAATAAACATGTTGCTTAACATATTACAATTTACGATAAATGTCTGATAATTTTACTCTCTTCATCATTGATTGTTCATAATTGATTTATTTAATGTACATTATACTATCTATAAGTTGGGAGTCGTAACGTTTTTATACAGATAGAATAGATCGACAATCGAACTGGATCTGTTCTATGTATTTTTGTTTCCCAAATAACCCGTCTGTGCGCTTTTTTTTGTAGTGCAGTTGAAATATACTCGTAAATCTTTAAACATCTAACGTTAGAGAAGATCTATTAAGTCGTCACTAGAACAAATGGTCAAACGAAAAATACAGTTATACGACTGTGAAAGCGTAACTGTATCTTTAGTTTTTTAATAGACTAATTCCTAGATTTCTAACCTTAGTTCATGAATTTTGTTGGAAACTGAGTCGAAATGAAAAACGAACTAAAAAATTTTGTTTTTACGCTACTACGTTCGGTTTGAACTATTGGAAGTTAAGAGTGAGCAAATAATCACAAAGGTCAGTTTGAAACTGTCTTAAAGCTACATAATTTTTAGTTTTTAATTATTTAGAGGGAGTTCCACATATCAGTCATTTTAACATATACCCAGTGCTGCTAAAGTACAAGTGTACAGGGTGTTTCATTAAGAACGGCACACAGCCTAATAATTAATCTTTGAGTCAAATTCTGTACTAGTAACTAGTGCCCTCTATCAATAAGCACAGAATGAATAATATTTTTGATATACTTTTCCTAAAAACATTATAATTTTCTGGAAACATCACGAAAATTCCGAAAACATTTATAAACTTCAATATATTGTAGATTGAAACACATTTAATTAAGGCATGTTTAGCCCAATCACCCTATTTCGACTTGAGCAATTTCCCATTAGACTGTCTCGTCCTTAAGGGATAAAACCACTCTAGAATTTTGAATAGTTTTGGATAAATGGTTTAAACAACGCTTTATTATGTGAAGAATCTAGGAAAAAAGTTTTGTTTGGGGAAAAAATCGGGAACAGAAGTTTTTTCGAGGTGGTGGTGAACCACTGGCAGTGCATGCAGAAGTGCTTATTGTAACTCGTGAGAACGTGTATTTTGTGTGCTACTCGCCTCTTACATTATTGCAAAACTAAAAAAATGAATTAATTTCAATAAAACAGCTGCACACCACTTTTGCCTCATTAATTTTAAAACTTTTTCGTATCTTGTTTTTTTTTCGATATTTGGCCTTGTTTCTGAGATATTCAATGAAATTCGCGACAGTGTAGTGCCCCAGCCGCGTAAATTGTATACAAGGTGATTCAGGTTCAATCTGGATAACTTCAGGAATCGATAGAACGGGTTAAAATAATGTTCATTCATAATATAAATTTATTACTTAAATCGCATCGTTTCGGAGATAGAGGGTGTTAAAGTAGGAATCTTTTTCCCTCATAACTTTTGAACTTAATAATACTTTTAACGATGATTTTCACAAACGTCAGTTTATACAAATCACTGTGAGTTTTGTATTTCATGGGTTGCTATAACGTTAAATGAAATTTACGTGGCTGGCTGGGGCGCTACCTCGGGCGCTACAGTGTCACGAATTTCATTGAATATCTCAGAAACAAGGCCAAATATCGAAAAAAAACAAGAGACTCTTCTAAGAGGGGTAGGTGGTTCAAACTTAACTTAAGGAGCTAATGTAAGATCATAAGGAGTGTCTGTGTTCTGAATGTTTCACTTCAATTGGATGAGTGGTTCAAAAGTTATGAGGGAAAAACGGGAAAAAAATTCCTACTTCAACGCCCTCTATCTCAGAAACGGTGCGATTTAGGAAATAAGTTTATTATTTATTTTAACCTGTTCTATCGGTTCCTTATCGAGTTTAAACTTGAATCACCCTGTATAATTCAAAATGTTTTCAAATCCATTTGGAATTTTGAGCAAAGGTTGACAATAATGTAATTCGGGGAACATTGTAGGGGTTTTTTGATTGATTGACAATTTTTATTATTAACAATTTACTGCAAAACTTTTCGTCTTTTTTCGATTCTTTTTTTTTAATGTTCACTAAATCAACAATTATTAATATTTTTTAATTTCCTTATGATGTTCCCTAGCTTTTAGTATATCAGAAAATTTTTGTCTATTTGTTCCAAGATCATTTATTAATAAGAAGAAACCCTTTCGGCCATACAGTGCTCTGAAAAAAAGGTGCCGTTGCTTGCCATTACATACAGCTGCCACGTTGAATCCAAATCCTTTGAAAAAATTCACAATACTGTCTGAAAACATGTACAATAAAGCCTTTTTCTTCCTGACACTACATTTTGTATAAATTTTTCCTTGAAAAAATCACCTTTTTTTCCAACCTCTAGAGTGGCGTTAATAAAATACGCTGCAGAGCGATTTGCATAGTTCCAACACGATTAATTACCAATTAGCAAGCTTTAGCAACACCGTGTATATCGAACTGTTTAAAATTGTAGATTTATCGAACTCTATAAATTTAACGATTTATAATATCCATTTTAAACAAAACAAAGTATCCAGGATACGTATCAAACTTATTTAAATTGGTCCTTTACTCAATACCTGTAATATACCCTAAAACTTATATTAACCCTTCAGACAAAGAAACGAAGGATAAATTCATCCATTTTTAAATTTACTTAATTAGTAATATAGAGACTAAAATATGTTATGATGGATACTTTGTCTCGGTAATTACAATCGAATTTTATATTTTATATATATTTAATATTTAATTATCGCTAGTCCTAACTCCTTAAAATTGTATTATACTGAGCTGGTAGCTTGGTGTGACGTGCAGTGGCTGTCGGAAGAACAAACCGACAGAGGAACTGGGCTGTATGTCGTATTATAGTCAGTGCAGTTGAGATACAACCTAGAACTGGTACGGTCACATTCGGGACACGAACGTTTTTTCTTTTTACTTCTTCTAAATAGATCATAGGCACATCTACAATTGAAAAATACTCTTTAATGTATCGGTAAGTAATTCAACGAGACTTCATTGCCTTCAAAATTTACTGTGTGTATGTTTTACCTTGCATGAAGGATATGTGCGCATGGCAATGCTTCTAAGGAGTCGTTTTCGAGCCCATAAGGGGATCCACATCCAGCACACTGCAGGTCTAGGTCCTGTTGCAGTCTAAGGGCTACTCTTTCGTGGTGTAGTTTTTGGTCTTCGTCTCCTAGGGAGTGGTATATGCGGGACAGGCGAATTCTAACTGTTCGCACTAGAAGCTGAAATAAAACCGTTTTTGTGAAGAAAAATACATTTTGTATTGTATATGTTGTAATTTTTATTAGCATAAATATCGAAGTTAAGACATTTAACAAATATCAGGTCATAGACTCTTTCAGTTACATTTTAAATAAATTATATGTTGTGAAATTTACAATTGAATTTTAAAAAATCTGGGAAACTAAAAGAAGAAAGGACCAATTATGTATTAGTAAGATTGTCTCTTGGACCAATCAAAAGCATGCATATTTTGACAGCTGACAGTAAAAGCGCGTCAAGCGCTTATGATCGTGTTCTTTATACTTATTTTTCAAAAATAGTTTAATAATAATATAAATTTAAATCATATCTCTCATTCACTGCAAATGTAACTTAATCACATAAATAAGAAAGAGAAGAAATTGAGTAAAAAAGACATTTAGTCGTTTTTATAAGGACAGTATGTGCATTTTTCAGTTTTACGATATCCATAAGGTCCTTGCATTTTTATAAAGCGTTTCGGACGTCTGATTTATCCCTGATTTATTCTATATTATAAAAATTAAGACTTAGATAATCTCTAACGAAATAAATTATTCTATTCATATAAAAAAATATATAAATGCTTCAGATGCATAACATTCAAAGTAAATAAATGTTCTGGTTTGTGTGATATGAAGATTTTATTTTAATTTATTTTTGCCGACACGGGCTTTATTTTCTAAGGGTCGTATGACACTATGCTAAAATTATAACTAATTTCAGTAATTAACCAAGAACTTTTTAATCTTGCATAGTATCATACAGAAATGCAACAATTTTTGTTGCAATTTGTGTATGATACTATGCAAGATTAAAAAGTTCTTAATTAATTACTGAAATTAGTTATAATTTTAGTATAGTGTCATACGACCCTAAGATTTGAGTTACTATGTATCCTATAGACTCATTTTGTAAAATTTAAAATTTATTTTATACAAATATACAGGGTGATTCATTAACAATGGGAAAGTCGAAAGCTGAATATACTATACGTGAAATGGTGACCATTGCGCAAACATGCCTTATCCGAAAGTTAATAGTTTCGGAAATACAGGGTGTTGAAAGTTAAAATTTTAAATCGTTTTTTTTGCGATTATTCTGAAAATATGTAGGTTAAACTTGAAAATTTGTGAAACTATATTTTTTTAGGCGACGAATAAGATGCGTGTTGTAATTTCAGCATTGCTCGTAGAGGGCGCCACTTACGACCAATTTTACCGAAAATTTAGTTAATAACTTTTTACCCTGTACGTCTAACATGAAACATGATTCAAAACCTGAAAGAGCTGTTATTTTTCCATTATTTATGTACTCTTGTTTCATTTCGGTATCTTGATCCGTTTTCGAGAAAAATCGATTTAACGAATACTATGTTTTGATAATATGATAAATTAAAAGCGAAAAAAAACCAAGTGTTTCTTCGTGTTATTACAACAATTAACAATAAAACAAATAAAATAAGTAATTATGATTTAAAGTAATTGTTCGAAGAATCCATCGTTGACACTGATACACTTTCCACGTTTTCTGAGAGATCTTCGAGTTTGAAACAACATATTGGGATTGCGTCTGACTTCGTTGGCAGCGATTTGTATTCTTTGTCACACGAGCCAATAGATTTTTTGTAAACTATATCTCTCATTCAAGACCAAATAGAAAAATCAAGAGGATTGAATCCGGACTTCTGGATGGCCAAGCAAAAATGATTACATGACCAATCCAGCGATTTGGAAAAATTGCATCTAAATATGCACGCACTGGCCAAGAAAAATGCGGTGGAGCTCCGTCGTGCATGAACCATATGTTTCTTCTTAAATAAAGTGGAACTTCTTCAAGCCGTGGAAGCATTTTTTACTTGGCCACCCAGAAGTCCAGACTTCAATCCTCTTCATTTTTCTATTTAGAAGAATCTATTGGTTCGTGTGAAGAGTTGTGGCAAAGAATATAAATGGCTGCCAACGAAGTCAAACGAAATCCCAATATGTTGTTTCAAACTCGAAGATCTCTCAGAAAACGTTGTGTAAAGTGTGTAAATGTCAAGGGTGGATTCTTCGAACACTGACTTTAAATCAATATTACGAATTTCATTTGTTTTATTGTTAATTGTTGTAATAACACGAGGAAACACTTGGTTTTGTTTTGCTTTTAATTTCTCGTATTATCAAAACATAGTGTTCGTTAAATCGATTTTTCTCGAAAATGGATCGAGATATCGAAATGAAACAAGAGTACATAATTAATGGAAAAATGATTGCTCTTTCAGGTTTTGAATCAAGTTTCATGTTAGACATACAGGCTAAAAAAGTTATGAACTAAATTTTCGGTAAAATTGGTCGTAAGTGGCGCCCTCTACGAGCAATGCTGAAATTACAACACGCATCTTATTCTTCGCCTAAAAAAATATAGTTTCACAAATTTTCAAGTTTAACCTACATATTTTCAGAATAATCGCAAAAAAACTATTTAAAATTTTAACTTTCAACACCCTGTATTTCCGAAACTATTAACTTTCGGATAAGGCATGTTTGCGCCAATGATCACCATTTCACGTGTAGTATCTTCAGCTTTCGACTTTCCCATTGTTAATGAATCACCCTGTATAATTCAAATGACGCCATTAGAGGGACGGATCATGTCAACAGCGCCATCTGTTGTCAACTTTCAGATTGAAGATATTTTTAAATATATTGGAAGTTTCCTACATCTAAAGAAGATTGTGGCGCATTTTTTAAAATATTAAACACATATCTAACGTATTTTATAGTTATTTATTTATAAACAAAAACTATACTTATGTCTGTTTTATATCTTTCTACTTTATACTACGTTTTTACTATAATTACCATAACTTAGTTGTGAATAAATTGAACTTGATCCAAAACTCCATTAATACAGACAGCTTTAGTGGAGTTCCTAACTTGGCAAGTTCGAAAACAAAACAAAAAGTTTTAGACAAACTAACATTGTTAAAGGATCATCAGTGAGTTCCGAATGGATATAAAAGGCATCGCAGTGGCCTATGCTACTCCGCCACTTTAAGCGGCTCTTTGTTGTATAATTTACGAAACATACCTACTTTATGGTTCCATAATGTTTATTCAGAAGTCACAGTTGTTCAGCTGATGTTAAATGATACATACATGAATATAAAGTCTACTGATCGTCATTTGTTTTGATATAAACAAATAAGTAGCTGCTTCAGTTTGTTATTTGTTCCATTTTTTTTATTTCCTTACACTTTTTTTTTTTTTGAGAAAGTGTAGATCTAACTTTCTTGAGTGCGGGGCACAATTAGACCAAGCAAATTAAATTTTTACTCGAAAAAAGTCCTATCCGCTAGATTATTGTAAAATTGTCTAAAGGAACATAATACAAGACATCTCTCGTCTTGTGAGTCAAAAACATTTATTAGCTAACTTTTCTATTTAAAAAAATAAGTGAGGAAAACAGTTTTTTCACTTTGCAGGGAAAACCATCAATTTTAGCGAAAAGTGACTCT